AAAAATCGTAAATAATAATAAATCGTAATAAGTGTTAAATTAGAAATTTGATGTATGTATGACTTTCTTATTAATGTATGTATAAGAAAGTCGAAATTCAAATGAAATTTATGACCTTGACCTTCAGGAAAAAATTAATGACCATTTGATGAAATGATAGGATTTAATCACAGCGATTTCACATGTGATTGTTATTTCGTAATTTATTATCGCATTGAAGTCAATCGAGTCTTTTTTATCAATGATTACGACCTTTTTTTTAGATTTAGTCATTTCGCGAGCCTTGCGCTTGCGTAATAATAATAATTAATTAATAATTAACAGGTTTTGTAAAGCAGTCACAGGTGTGATGATATGATTTATAAATAGTATGATTGATATTTTATTTCATCCCTAGTGCGCTCGCTGAGTGTGTGCGAGGCGGACGTGTCGACCCCATAATACAACACGCCTAACACGTATAACTACTGAAATAAACACTGTCAATTCAAAAATACCAAAATATGCAATAACGCTATAAAAATCCGTCCGTGTGGTGACGGATTAAGAATACAGATTGTCACCACCCCTATTCATCCCGTGGGTGTTGTAAGAGTCAACTAAGGGAAAAAACTACGCAGAACAACAACACTGCAGAGAGAAGGAAAACTTGACACAAACCCTAGACCAACCCGTCTGGCCAGCGTGGTATAGTAGGCCAAAACCTCCTTTCTAAGGAGAGGCTTATGTCCAGCAGTGGACCATTGAAGGGCTGTTGATGCTATAAAAATAGGTGATATGTATTTGCATATGCAAACATGCAAATGCATATAATCCGATGTTTATAAATAACTGTTCCACAGACGATACGAGGTGAATCTAAGTAGTTTTTATTGCATAATGTAATTGCACTTCCGAAGCAAGTCTAGGTCTCGTGATTACGCGACACTAAACATTAAAATATTAGTCTTTCACAGCAACACATCATCATCATCAACAGCCTTTAATATAATAGTCCACAGCTGGACGTAGCCCTCTCCTTAGAAAGGAGGTTTTGGCCTACTATACCACGCTGGCTAGACGGGTTGGTATAAGGTTTCTGTCAAGTTTTCCTTCTTTTTGCAGTGCTGGTGTGACGCGTTGTTTTGCGCCCTTAGTCGGCTCTTACGACACCCACGGGATGAATTGGGGTATACAATATATCAGAATATATTAGAAGCAATTGAAGCATGTTGTACAGAAATGATCAATAAACTGGTCACATCTTCTTTAGCAATGAAAATGAAAAAGGAAAATGGCCGGAAGCGGATGGACGCGGACTGCCCAAGACCGAGATGGTTGACGGTCTTTGGGGGAGGCCTTCATTCAGCAGTTTAGCAGCAATTAATTGTCCAAAATGATCTGTATTCATTTATTGCGACAAAAACCAAGTATTTTGGAATAAAAAAAAAGATTTCTTACTATTACAAAAAGAGGGTGATTTTATAGAAAGGGTATACAGACATTTATTTTAGTTTAACTATTTTTTGTCATCGTTAACCATTCCAAGGCTGTATTTGTAAAAATGCTAGACTTCCCTGGACGACATTGCCGTTATACCTCGTTGTTTTTTTTTTAAATATAATCCTTAAGTTTGCCCTTTTTTCTTCTCTAATAATATATTCTGGCAACATTTAACTTCAAAGAACCAATCGACGCGTAAACAGCGACACCTACACCATCCATCCACAGCTTTTACTAGTCCACTGCTGGACATAGGCCTCTCAAAAATCAAAGTTTTGGCCTACTATACCACGCTGGTAAATAGTTAAGAAATAGTTAAATATTACTACGATTACCGATTCAATTTTCGGTTACAATACGATATAATCACATTACAGTCAATGTTAGATGTTTAATACTTTACTACGAAAATACCTTTTATGACAGTTGTGAGATCGAAAGTTGATCGGAACTGAATTGAGACTGAACTTTTATTACGAGAATTGGCTTTCAGGTAGAACCCCTTATGACCCTTCCGTGGAACCACCTTGCGTAAAATGAAAATATTTCTTAAAATTTCCTCCTAACAATCCAAATTGTAAGACATTGAGAAAGTGGGGAAATAAAAGTTTTTAAGTGTATTCAATGAACCGTCCGCAAATCAGCCAATAACAAGATGGCGAGAGAAAAATATATAATGTTTTCTATTCTGTAATTTATTACAACCTTGGTGTTTTAAATTCTAAACCATTTTCTTTAATTATATTAAAGAATCCAAAATTAACATTCTTTAAAAAAAAATCAACTTTACACTATGGGTATATCTGTGCCAATATTTTTTGTTATAGGACTTTAAATCGATGCTGATTTTATTTAATTAGTTCAAAAATAAATACCTAAATAGTTATACAATACATATACAATATTAAATCATGTTTACTTAATATTTTTTTAAAGATATCCTCATTTATTTAATTGTAGGTTCGTGTCCAGATCATGGCAGTGATCATTTCATGACGACGGTAAAATAAATATTTTGTTTGTATTTCATGAAGTGGCCAGAATAAACTGACAATATTGTAATAAACGTTTATAACGATATATCAATCAATTGCATAACTATTATGCACGAATGGCGGAGCGGTTTAAGCGGTCGCCACGCCGCTTACTAATACAAGTGTTGTGGGTCCGATCCCCACATTGGACGGTACTTTGTGTGAACCACAAATTGTTGTTCTGAGTCTGGGTGTTGTCTGTGTCCGTTTCATGTAAAACAAAAATTAAATAATTTTTATTTTTATTAAATTTGGCCATATAATTAATGTGGGGCATCGACGATTTGATTGGGTTAAATTTTTTGGGGATTTGGGTTAAATAAAGATTCTTAATAAACAAAGATCTTTTTTTTCTCGTAAATTGTAACGAAATTTTATTGCAAATTTCACCCGATTGCGGCAGAAAAGGAGGGTTATGTTTTTCGAGCGTGCGATATCTTCGGCACGCACTTAATGAATTTTTGCTTGGTAGCTGTGATGTTAGATTCGTCTTTAATTGTTAAAGTGACACTGGGTATATGAAAATTATAAAAATTAAAATGGTATTTTTTTACGCAGTCAGTTTTATTTTAATAATGAACTTCATTACTTCATATGTACATAATTATTTGCAAAATGAAGCGAAAATGATTGTCTGCCGCCATGATAAGTTCTGCGCTCAACGCTCTCCTGCGTTCCAATCCCGACTGTAATTTGTTTGCGAATGGATGACGGAATATAAATGTTAGTATGCTTACGATCTGTGAGGATGATTTTTATTTAGATTCCATGTTTGTTTTCATTTGTGTTGATGTATATTTGTCTTTAATTTTTGTAATTGGTGAAATCAATCAACATCAACAGCCTTTAATAGTCCACTGCTCGACATAGGTCTCTCCTTAGAAAGGAGGTTTTGGCCTACTATACCACGCTGGCCAGACGGGTCGGTGTTATAATTAAAGTAAATAAATAAATGATGCACCAAATAAACAAAACTATATTAGCGCCTCTAACAGCAGATAATGTAACTATTTTACGACATTAGTACTAAAGATTGACCATTTCATGATTTATCATCATCAACAGAATTTAATAGTCCACTGCTGGACATAGGCATCTCCTTACAAAAGATGTTTACAGAGACAAGGTTTGTATTATAATTAAAAAAAAATGCTCTATGTAATGTACATTTGCTAATTTCAGTGATGACATTTAAAGGTCAATTACAGCCTTAAGTATTTTTTTTTTCGTCAGAAAACGTAAATTACACTTTGCTATTGATTTAAATTAGGCATATTTTTGATTGACAAATTTTTGGAATATATTATACTATCTAAGATGGAATATAATAAAGCTGTGCAAAACTGCGAAAGCATAGATAGATAAATAGATCTCTTTATTGTACAAAAAACATAGTAAAAAAGAAGAAATCAGTTTGTATACATTGGTGTGTCTTATTTCTAAAGTTTAATAAATGAAACATGGAGAGTAATGTATTAAAATTTGTACAATTGGCGGCTTTATCGCGGTTTGCGATCTCTTCCAGGCAACCACTGGATGGAGAAGGAGAATAGGAGTGAGATAGGGGGTTGCAGTTTGTAGATCGGAGTTTTCTGAGTATTTTGTAAATTAAGACTAAAGACTATTAGATTATACAAACTAATTCAAACATATACATTAAACACATACACACATCACTACACAATATATTCATTACACAAAATATACATTCAACAGAGACTATAGAAGTAAGAGACAGATAAATACAAGATTTCTGACTGAGCATAAAAATGTATAACAGGTAACAATCTTCCTCGAGTGTCATTACTCGGTAGTTGAAACACGTGATTAAGGTATCCGCATAAATGATGACGCAACTACACTCAAATTCATCAAACTCAATAATAGACATTAATTTCGCTAAGTTATTAATACATTTATACTCATTACTAAACCTCTGTGGAATAAATTGAGTTTGAAACCGAATGCGTCATAGACAAGGATGTAAGCCGAAGGCGACAATGATTATGCCATTATGGTATCCTATACAAACCTAATCTACATCCATTAAGGAATAATTTAGAAAAATGTCGTAGGAATAATATTGTTATATAAACAGTTTTCGTTAAAATTTAATAAAAAAAAAATATTATCTGGACATAGATAGGTAGGGTGTGTAGTGCAAACATGCACAAAAAATAATATTTGCCCGCGTGACGGTCAATACTGTAAAATAATTTTATCGCCGGGTGTGTAAAGACATTATCTAAGTGACGCGTTAAACGCTATAGTGTACACTAATGATACGCATTTATTATGAAAATAACGTGCAAAATTGTGTAATATAAATTAAAAATCTTAGGATTTTTTGATGCGTCAACACATCAGAGGGAAAATCCTGTGAAGAAAAAAAAAATCCGCAACAAAATGGCGTTCGCAAAATCCATGTAAAAATATATATGTCCGATACAACACGTGCCATATAAATTGGAGCGTTATTTCGAACTAGGTACATTTCGAAAGCATCCAAACGTTCGAACAAAGAGCACGCAACTTGAACGCGACAATTACAATCTGACCGGTTACAACGAACGTGTTTAACGTTGGCGCGTCAACCGCGGGCCGACATCCGCGAATAAGACGGTTTATAAAAACGTCACTAAACATACCGGCCGCAAACTTCTCCGGCGGCCCGAGCGCAACCCAGCCGGGCACGACACACTCGCAAACTTCCTCCCAGCATCGCGCCTTCTCCGCCCTGTCACCGTAGTTGGGATCATTGGTATCAAACAAGCAGGCTCTCCTCTTCACCTCCGTAATAATCGAACTACTCTTAATACCGTCCCCATCTTTCGTTCTGACCATAGTTAAAATTATAAAAAAAAAATTGCAACGCGCCGCGACGTATTGTACCTTCGGGTGGATCGCGTGCGGATTTCAAGTGCGGGCGCGAAGTTGACGTGAGCGGTATGCGCGTCTCAGTGCCCGCGTGAAACTGGCGGGTTTGTGCGGACGGTGCGGCGCATCGGGCAACATGGCCGCCAGGCGACGGCAAAACAAAATAGGTGTGAGCGGAGCGCTATGAGGCCGTTGCGATATCGCCTTCCTAGCGCTAATAAATAAATAAGACGCATGCAATGTATCCTTGCTCTATTATAAATTATATGCACCAGAGCCGTACGTTGTTTTTATAGAGGTTTTTTTAATAGAAATATCGTAATAATAAAAGCAAAGGTTATTTATCTAAGTCGGTGTAATGCAGATAGATACAAAATGTCGGTTGTACGATTGAGTTAGGTATAAAAGATCGTTTGTATTACGTAATATTATGTTGCCGTGCGTATCTTTAAGTAGGTGGGTATCGCGCTTGGTATTTTTATAATCTTTCTTCGCTCTTTTAAGTATTCTGATGTCATAAATATTGTTTTTTTTTTTATAATTTTAATGTAAAAATAATTATAAATTAACCCGAAACAGTCATATTTATACTACAGATAGTATACATAAAAACATAGATAATTTTAACACGCAGTTCCTTGTTACGATATTTTTTTTCACGTTTCCAGAATTTTTTACTACCTATTTTACCGTCGAAAAAAATGACAACAATCGATACCATTTTAAAACATGATTTATCAATTATCGTTGCCTGTTCACCGGAAAATAATATCGGAACATATTTTATGCAATTTTCGAAAACAGTTTTAATATTTATTCAAAAGAAAAAAAAAATCTGCTTCAGAGCCTGATGGTATACCATATATAGTATATTAAAAATGACCATCAGTGCGTAAACACCTTTTAAGTATTTTCGGCAAGATCTGGTCGAGCATATAAATACCAACAACCTTTGGAAAGGCTAATTTTGTCCTCATTCCTAAGAAAAGTGAAGAAGTACATCCCGGGGACACTAGACCCATGGCCCTTACCAATACAATTTCTCCTGTCTTCAATTAAAAATAATCCAGTTTATGTCCAACAATAATTACTTCGAACCAAATTACCGAAAAGGATTTATGCCCGGAATGTCTGGATGTCTGGAACATAACTCATTACTTGCGGAAAGTCTCAAATATGCCAGAAAAAATGAAAGGCATATTACAGTCTCTTGGATGGATTTAGAAAACGCCTTTGGCTCAGTACGACACGAGTTCATGTTATTTGCCTTGAAATGGTATAATTTTCCGCCAATAGTTTGTGAAATAATTGCATCATACTATAGTAAATTAAAATTTGTAATCACAGAAAAAGAGGGACATACAAAACCCCTCGAATACAGAGTAGGGTTGTTCCAAGGTTGTTGTTTATCATCAGTACTATTTAATACAGCTATAAATATATTAATAGATAATATCGCAACACACGAAACGAGGTGGGGCTACCGGTTTAAGGTAAATGGAAAATATACGGAATCCATCTTAGCATTCGCAGACGACCTCGCGATCCTCACACGTAACCTGAAGCAGTGCCAAGAACTACTGCGTAAGGTGGATGACTTTTGTACCTGGATAGAGGGAATGAGGACAAAACCTAGCAAATGCTATTGCCTTTGTCTGGGCCGGCGAGGTACCAGATATACCTCACATGACCCCGGGATTACAATTGATGGGATTTTTTTTTCAATAATATCAGAAACCGTGCCCTATAAATTCCTTGGAAGAAAGATAGACTACAAAGGTCGTACTCCATCTATGAACGCTATAGTCCATGACTTCGTAAGACATTAATAAGGTAGACCTACAGCCAATAAGCTTGGATTTACGACAACTACTTTACATCACGTCTCAACTGGTCGTTTCTGGTAATCGATATAAAATAGAACCACTTAAGACAACTGGATGCGAAAATCACTAAGACATTGAAGTCGTGGCTCGGGCTAGCACCATCTGCAGACCCGTCAACGTTATACAGGTGCTCGAATAACTTTGGAATGAAATTAAAAAGACCTTCGGAACTCTACAAACACCTAAGAGTTACCAAAACGCATGTCTTGTAAAAATCACAAGAAGAATTCGTTAGATCCCTTCCAAAAGACAAAAATTCATCACAGCTCGCCAATTCCACAAGAAATTCATGGTGGGTACGTAGTTTAGTAGAGTTGGATTGGGAAATGCTAGAAGACAGACCGACAAAAACGAGACCAACAAGGTGCACGCAATGAACCTAGAAATGCAGAATGAGGTCTAGGAGAATTTTGTATCCCACCAGCTTTGAGATGGCGCATACGATTGGTCACTTGCCCTGTTAAAATTTTACCTCACCGACATTCAATTGGCTCTCCCCAATCAAAGCAACCTAGTAAGGTGTGGAAAAGCTACAGAAAAAGCTTGTACGATGTGCAGTGCGGCAAAAGCTACAGCCAGGCTCTTACTGACATGTTGTAAGGCATTATTAGACCGGGGTAATTATTCACGTCGCCATGATAGGGTATTACAAATCATACGCGAAGCTATAAGTTTATCGCTGGCGAGAGCGAAAAAGGGAATAACAAAAATCATAAGATCGCGTTTGTAAAGAAAGGCTCAACAAAACACCGCCAGTGACTGGACATTATTGTGTTACTCATATTAAATATGTTTAGGTAGAGGGAGTAACACAGCAGACAGTGAAAGTGAACTCTGACGCGTCGCAAGGAGTATAGCTTATACCTAGGTTGCAAGGCGCTGTCGAAGTCTCGTGTGTTGCCCCCATTTATCGCACGGTGAATCCATGGCACGCTAAGAAATAGGTCTAGGCAACTAGAGATTGCCTGTATCTATTACTTTTTTTAATCAGAAATATAACATAACAGTCACTATGATGGGCTGTTGGTCTAGTGGTTAGTGACCCTGACTGCTAAGAAGGAGGTCGTGGGTTCGATTCCCACCCAGGACAAATAATTGTATGATGAGCACGATCATTTGTTCTGTGTCTGGGTGTGATTTATCTATATTATGTATGTATTTAGAAATATATAAGTATGTTTATCAGCAGTCTGATTACTATAGTACAGGCTCTGCCTAGTTTGGGATCAGACGGCCGTGTGTGAGATGTGTGAAATTATTATTATTATTATAGACTTGCCGTAGACCGTACCATGAAAGATCAACACTTTTTAATAAATCCCTGTAGCTTTTGATATTTGTATTCATATAATACTAGCTGTATAATAGCGTAAATCCGAAAATTACAAACTTTCTTTTTTTAAATCTAAACCATTAACGAATCCACTTGAACAGACATAAAAATATCATCAAAATCAGTCCAGCCGTTTAGGAGGAGTTTATCACATACACACGCACAGAAGAATTATATATATACATAAAGATTTGAATCTTAACACGTATTTTTAAATAATTTTAGCTTCTGCCACTTCTCTCTGTATTTAAATTTTAAATTGAATAAATTCTTCCGTGAGCGAAATTTGTCTGTATAACCACTTGTATATATATATTTTAAATATTATATTGATGCTCGATTAAAAACAAAACGAGTGTTGTCAAAACATCATCCAACAAGATATTTACTAGCCTATTGGTCCAGTGGTTTACGGTCCTGACTGCCAAGACAGCGGTCGCAGATTCGATAACCACCCAGGTTAAAAAAGAATGTGTGATGAACTAGATCATTCGTTCTGTGTCTGGGTCTAATTTATTTATATTGAGTTTTACATTAATTTATATACATATGTATGTAATTTCTTCAGTATGGTTACTATAATATACAGGATCTGTTTAGTTTGAGATCAGACAACGGTGTGTGTCTTAAGTTACCGTAGTTATTACTATAGCTAAAGCATAAGTAAGAAAAATAACATAGATTTATTGTGCTCAGGACGAAAACATTAAAAAATCGTGCTAATACTCAATTTTAATAAAAATCAAATTAATATCGAAATGGAAAACGTACTATATGCCGTATGAATCACGCGTCCTTTGCTTAACCGACAATGTCACACAGATTCATCGTATGTTACGCTTGCGACTTGCGTTAATTGCGCATTGACTTCTCAGCTCTTTGAACACGGACCATTTTCCCCTAGGACATCTAACTACTAGGGATGAAATACAATCACAATCACCTGTGATAAATTCATCATCATCATCATCAACAGCCTTTGATAGTCCACTGCTGGACATAGGCCTCTCCTTAGAAAGGAGGTTTTGGCCTACTATACCACGCTGGTCAGACGGGTTGGTATAGGTATTGTATCAAGTTTTTATCATAACTATATAGGTAAGCGCCAGCGCGCGCGAAGTTATTTAGTTTTGATGACCAAATCACAGTATTGAATTATCGCAGGTCTAGAAGCAATCATTTCATTAAATGATTATGATTTAAAAGTAGCAATAATTTCCATCACATCTAACTACTATTTGGATGACTGTTGGTTGACCTGGGAGAGTCATACTACATAAATGTGGCGGCTCCACTGGAGTACAATACCTTTACAACAAAAAATATCCTAAATATTAGTATATTAATTTATACATATTTAGAAAAACACATTTCAATACATTAATATAAAAATTGGAAAAAATAATAAGTTCAATATTATTTATTTATTTACAGCAGAATGTTATTATGACTAATATAAAAAATTAACAAATTCATTATTCCTTGAGAAAAATCAGCGCAATAAATTAATAATTATAATAACACAAATATAAATATTTCATAAATAAATATAAGATATTTAAATAATAAGCGAGATACAGCTTCCTCTCTCTTCTAGTTGCCGTGCCCTACAGGGTCCATAATGTACTGGAATTATTGTTTGTAACATGTGAAAAGTAACAAATGTTTTTGATTAACCGATGCTTTTCAAAGAGTGAGAACACCGTAGTCCCTTCATTACCCTAACCCCATCCATGGGCAGCTGTAGT